GGATCGCTTGGAGTGTCCTGCGGCCTGTTTCTTCCTTACCTTCTGGTTCTTCTTTTGTCTTCCCTTCCTCCTCCCCTCCTTCCCCAGGCTCTGTGGAGTGTTCTGGGTTTGGGGTTGGTTTGGTTTTTTCGTGGTGTGGTGTGGTGTGTTTTGTTTTTGTTTTTTTTTTTTCAAATTCGGTGAGATCATCTTGTCTGGAGGCAGCAATGTGACAGAAATGATAAATAGCCTTGTTGCTCGGGGAGGCTTCCTCATCTAAACTACGTGGTCGACTTGCTTGCAATCAGGTGGTGTGGTAGTCTTTTGGAAAATGAGTACCTAATTGAATTGAGGGTAGTAATTCATGGAAAGAGGCCAAAACCTAAAAGCATAAGGTATGTGTTGCTTAGATAAAAATGAATGTAGCTCTTCAAGAATGGGCCAGAGTAACTATGAATTAAGAACTAAAGGAGTTAGTCTTAGGCTGAAAATTCTAGAAAATGTAGATAAAACTGTTGATATATGGTCCCTGTTTCTGCGCAAAGGAAGAGTAATCCTGAGTCATAACAGGATTTCAGTTTCATTTTTTTACATCTTCGTAGTTAATACCCTTCAACTTTTCAATAGTCTGAAATATTTAATGTGCCGAAGTACTTCATTTTGATGCAGGTAATACCCTTCAACTTTCACTACTCTGAAACATCTAAAGTGCCAAAGGAATTTGGTAAATATGGATAGTAGTTGTCATTCGTGCAGTTGTGTTAAACAGATGGGATAACCGAACACTTGACACTTCTTACTGTTTCTAAGTGAGTCATTTAAAGAGTGTGACTAATCGTCCTACCATACAATTGTTAACAAAACAGTAATTTTTTTTTTCTACCACCCACAAAATCTGAAGAAGATATTTCCAGATTTTCTGTGGATGAGAAATTAAAACTAAAGAACCTCTCTTTTGAAACAGCAGTTTAAATTTAGATTGAGGGGGACTACATGTGATGGGCTTTTCGTCTTAAGAATTTATGCCATTTTTTTTCTGTGCAGCAATATAGCGATACATCCAGGAAGTCAGTTAGCTTACTATGGTCATTGTTGGGCAAACAGTAACACGTTAGTTGTTTTCAGGCTTTCATCTAAATAGCAACCTTAAGTGAAACTAAATTAATTTTCTCTCTTCTCTTTCCCCTCCCTGCTTCACCTGTGTCATCTAGAACAGAGGCACTGTAATTTTCAGTGCAGTATCGATTGGGCGTTTTCACGATAACAGTCAAGTGAGGGGTGTCATCAGGGTAGTAATAGTGGTAACTACCTGCTGTTGGGAGTGTGGGTGGAAATTTTGTCTGTTTGGAGATATCCGGGGTAGTAAGACAAGAGCTGGCTGAGAAATTTGTGTTTAGAAATGTGATATGAGAAGTGACCTGAGTTGAACGTAGCCCCTGTGGGAAATGAAGCCAGCAGTTACCTACAGCTTGTGAAGCTGAGCCAAGAGGGTGACAGTAAATTTAACACCCACCCACCCCCCCCAATATTATGGGAATAGAAAACATCTTGAAGGGGAGATACTTATCTTAAAATAAATGAAATCGGAGTCAGTTAAAGAGCTGGGAGGGAAGTATTAAGTACATAAAAAAGCAGTATCGGGCACAGGAGGCAGATAAGTGGCAAGATTGATTGGGAAGAGGTGTTTAGAAGTACAGTTACCTATAGCAGGGGAGAAGTAGCATATAGGGTAGAAAATGAGGAGACCAAGGATGCATCAGAATGGATCCCACAAAGAACATAAGAAAGGTATATTAAATGTATGCCAGCTTCTGCTGTTGGCAAATACATTTTCTGATTCTTCATATCTGTTGGCAGCATTAATAAAGATTTGCTCTTTATTGAATGTATGTCTAATAGTTAGTTGGTTTGGTCTGTTTGTTGTCTCATCACCTTTCCTGTGAAGACTAATTACTGATTGGGAGTGTGCTGAGAATGCTGTTCTGTGTTTTCCCCATAGCTTATGCTTGAAGTGACACTGATATGTTTGTGAATCGACCAAAAAAAAAAAAAGAGAAGTATTTACCCAATAATTTCCTCTTTACACACAAGCAGAATGGTGCCATATGGTTGGGGTTTTTTGGCCAGGTGATCTCCTCTTAAGGGAAGGGATCTCTTTTGTCAGGTGTCTGCCTCTGCAGGTATTACAGATGGCTTTTGTTAAACAGGAAGCCCCATTGAAAGGATGACACTTTCTCTTCTTTCAAATTGAATGTTGAAGAACAGGTTTTCTTTAGAAAATAGAAAAGTTGAGGAGTGGTCTGAGAGCTGCTTGGCCCAGGATTGAGTCCTAACCAGAGAGAGGTGGTAACAGCACAGAAATCAAGGGAAATGATCCTTCTTTCTGACACTGGAAAGTTATTCGTGCCTTCTAATAGTGTGGTCCCACTGGTTCAGTATTTGGAAAGTGATGAAGAACTGTGGGTAAAGTACAGCCCTTTCTCTTTTACACCCGTTTGCTGGAGATGGGTATCCCTTTGCTAACTAATCCTTGTATTAGAGAGTGTGAGGAAAATGTACAAGTAATGTAAGAATGTCAAAAGAGTCAGTTCCACCAAAAATGACGCTGTAGGCTTTGTGCTGTGTGATGGGTAGTACCGACAGAGGTACTAATGTAGTCTTGCCTGCTTATCAGTAAATATTTCAAGTGGAAGGTAGTCTTCTGTAAAGCAGTAGTTAGAGTTGTCAGAAGTCTACACTGGGTAATTACAGTCCAATAATTAGAGAATGTTTTCAGTCACATTTTAACTTTTAAAATACTCCACACTGCTGTTGTATTTTACTTGGGAGAAGGGAAATAGATTTTATGTTATTCCTTTAACTTTCTAGAATATCCTTATTTAGCTAAAAAAAAAAATAAAATAGTCTGATGTTGCTTTTTTATTTTAATGTTGCTGTACCAACTAGTATATCCTTCCAGTGAGCAACAGGGACTTGTAGCCATTTTTCTGCAAGCTACTGGCAAAATACTTGCATAATAAACTACACTGTTGACTTGGCAAATAACACAGAGCTTGGGTCACCTTAATGATCTTTAGCTGTTAATAGACCAATTTCATTGAAAATGTTGGGAGCTTTTTACTGTAAATTAGGTAAATACTCTACTGTGCAGTCTAACCTTCTGGTTTTATTCAGGACAGCCTGGCATTAACATTATGGATCGCTCTCGGCACCGCGCAGGAAATGGCAATGAGCAGGCGTCTTCACGAGAGCCTGGTCGTGGTGAAGATGAGAGACAACGGCAACTGGAGCGCCTCAGCAGGGAGGAGGCCTATTACCAGTTCATTAACGAGCTCAATGAAGAAGACTACAGGTTAATGAGAGACCGCAACCTGCTTGGCACTCCTGGTAAGATGTGAATACCTGCAGTAGAAAAGATGTAATGTGAAGTAACACTACTGCTGTCAAGCACCGCGTGTGGTTGTATGGCTCAAGTAGCCTGATTTCTGTGGCTTTGTAGAAAGGCAAAAAACCCCTCCATTTCCATTCAAAATTAAATAATTTATTTTATATATATGTAATTAAATAATAGTGATACTCAGTAAAAACTAACAACTTAGATAATAAAGCTGGAATAAAGTGTAACTCTGAAATATGACATCTCCGTATATAGGTAATATCCAAGCCCAAATAATTAACATCTGGTACACTAAAGTAGATCTGTTGGTATGTGGCAATTGTGGGGGCGTCTGAGTTGTTACTGGAAGTCGGCATGCTCTTGACACATTCGGGACATCTTTTTCTTCCACCCCAGTACCTACTTCCTCTGTTATCTGTGTGCCTGTGTTACAATCTCACACTCCTGCTGTTTTCTTTTTTGTTTCATTAATTTTACCTTATTTCTGAAGATTTTTCATTTGAGATAAAAAATATTGTTATTTCTGTTTGGCTGTGTTGAGACAATAATAATGTCTTACCTAACAGCGTTATCAAAATGTAAATTGTTTCAGGGGAAATAACAGCAGAAGAGTTGCAGCAACGCTTGGAGGGGGCTAAGGAGCGTCTGGCATCGCAGACTGATCTGGATAACAGAGAAGGTGAAGGTAGAACTGTTGGAGGTAAACATTCTTCATTCATATATATGTATACACGTAGCAAGTGATGCATAAATACTGTTCTGTACAGATATTTAAGAGAAATGCTGATGGATTTCAGTACCAGTCATTTCAAGTCTTGTTTTCTCATTGTGCCTTTGTGGATTGTTTTAAGAGAGATTTCCTAATGATATGAAAACAAACTTGAAATACTTAATTAAAACTGATTGACGTCAACCACAAATTACTTTCTCCTCTTTTCCTGCTTTCCCTTTGCTAGTAAACTTAATAGCACAAAAATAATTTTCGTTCTTCTAATTCTTAAAAGATTTTTTTAATGTATTTTAGAAGTTGAAACAGAAAAGAAGTTAATTGGGAAACAGTTCATCTCTCCACTGTTTTGTTGTTTTTGTTGTTTCATTTCCATTTGTTTTAATGGAGCAAGGTTTGTGTTACGTGCACTGTCTGTCTTCACTTGCCCAGCAATATTACCCTAATCATTTGGCCAATTCTAGTTGGAATTAGGAGAGGAATAGGCAACTTGGAAACAAAGGTACCAAAGTTCTTGCAGGTTTCATGAAAGCAGGGAGATGATGGAAGAGGGAGAGCTTAATTTGATCCCTTCAGGGGAAAACCTTCGCTGTGATCATGACCGTTGGCTTGCTTTATACCTAGCTCTAACCGCAACAATTGTGTCGGTTCTTGAGCTTGTAGTTAGAGGAGATTTGGAAACGGAGCTGTGGATATTGTAGGAGGAAAAAGAGTATACTTGCACAAAAGGAGCAAATCTGTCAAAACCTGCATTATTTATTCCATCATTTATTCCTGCTTATAGAAAACAAATTTTTAAAAGTCTTTTCTGAAAGAAGACAAAATCTGTCATACTTTTCCTTTATCAGAATTAGTTGACTAGGATACCCTCCAATTGGTAACTTAAGCGAGGGACAGATACTAGACAAATGCAGCTAACTTTGGACCGCCTAAATCTGAACACTCTCAGAAGAGGCCATCTGGACATATTAATTTCTCTATGTATCTGCTGGTGAGACAAAAATTCTAGGTTGAACTGATGAGTTTTGCTGACATGTTTACATACAGCGTATTTTCAGCAAAATTATGTTAGCATAGCAAGGTAGGTAGGTGTCCTGCTACTGTATCGTTTCTGAAGTCGGGGCCCAGCCAACATAGAGAATTTGGAGTGCATCACAGTATGCTGAGCGTGCAGTTATATGAATGTTTGCAATTCTTTGTTTCTCTCAGATTCTGATGTTCTTGGAGAAAACTCAAATGGTGACTCTTTGCTTGAATGGCTGAACACGTTTCGTCGCACAGGAAACGCCACTCGCAGTGGACAGAGTGGGAACCAAACCTGGAGAGCTGTGAGTCGAACAAATCCAAACAGTGGAGAGTTTCGATTTAGTCTTGAAATCAACATAAATCACGAGCATAACAGTTTTGAAACTGCTGGTGAGGAGTATGTGGGTATAGATAGTAGCAGAATGTATTTAGAAAGAAGACATCAAAGAGCAGTCAGTCCAGTAACCCCACGAACGAGGAGCAGGACTGCAAGAGAGGCAAACAGTGAGGCTTCAAGCACTGCAAGGACCAGGTCTGTAAGAAGTTCCATGGCACAAAGCTCTGGAGCAGCTTCTCATCCGGTCTCAGGGAGGCTCAGGAGTAGAACGAGGGCGTTGACAGGCCTTTCCCAAACAAATACTACACGTAACAATTCTGCAGCTCCTGGTGAACACGGAGAAATGCCAGAAAGAGGTACTTCTACAGGAGCCACAAGAGGTAGAACTAGAACTAATGTTCGGAGGAGTACAAACCAAAGGCTAGAAATTTTGCGGCTGAGGTCTACTTTAAGTAGTCGAAGCCGCTCTCCGCTGCGAAGGCAAGGTGATACTGCTCGTTCCGAGGAACGTGGGCAGAGGCAGGATAGAACTGCACAGCAGGTCAACAGAAGTAGAAGACAAACAGCTCAGCCTTCTGCACAGCCTGCCGAAGAACAAGCGAGAGGTAGCACTCAGACTCCTCAACTTTCCAGTGTAGCCCCATCCTTGGGAATAACTCTGGAAGAGGAGGAATCTAGTAGGCCAGTAGCTGCTGTTAGAAGGCATCCAACAATTACGTTAGATCTTCAGGTGAGACGAATTCGTCCTGGAGAAAACAGAGATCGGGACAGTATTGCCAGTAGAACTCGTTCTAGAGTAGGAATGGCAGAAAACACAGTTACCTTTGAAAGTGACAGTGGGGGATTTCGGCGTACGATATCACGATCAGAACGTGCGGGTATTCGAACCTATGTTAGCACTATACGGATACCTCTTCGTCGGATTTCAGAAACCGGGCTTGGTGAACCTTCATCGGTGGCGCTTCGATCAATCCTTAGACAAATAATGACAGGCTTTGGAGAGCTGAGTTCTTTAATGGAAACTGAGTCTAACTCCGAAGTGCAAAGAGGAGGTGGTCATCACTTACCGGATGTACGGGCAGAGCAGAATAACTCCAGTTCAGCAAACAGCAGCAGTGATCCAAGCGAGGTTTCATCTAGAAATGGGCGTGCAGTAGAGGGCAGCAGGGCAACAAATGGACAGAGGGATGCCACTCAACGCTATGGTCGCAGCAGTGAAAACCAAGATAACAGGCAGTCTCAAGATGCTAACAACCTAGTGGAAAACGGAACGCTGCCTATACTTCGACTTGCCCACTTCTTCTTGCTGAACGAAGATGATGATGACGACCGTTTAAGAGGCTTAACCAAAGAGCAGATTGACAATCTTTCTACCCGGAACTATGGGGATATTCACACCGAAAACGAAATAAGTAAAACGTGTAGCGTTTGCATTAATGAATATGTAACAGGGAATAAGCTAAGGCAGTTACCCTGTATGCATGAGTTTCATATTCATTGTATTGATCGCTGGCTTTCTGAAAACTCCACCTGCCCAATTTGTCGGCAGCCTGTATTGGGGTCTAATGCCACAGACGATGGCTAGAATTATTTATACTCCTCAGTCCTCAAGGATGTGCCTCTGCTCTATTTATGACGAGTCAGATGGAATGAATTGACTTACATAGGGGTCCATTTGTGTGGGGAGTTTTGTTAAATTTCTTTAAAAACAATAGGAAACTTGTCTAAATCTACCAATGTAAATACTATTTTTCTGCAAGTGCAGATCTAGGAGTACACATAGAACCAAATGATATTGGTAAAGTTTATATTTTTTTAGGTAATTTTGTTATGCTAAGCACTTTTGTAAATACAGAAATGCTATAGTTAATCAGTCTTGCTTAATGTATGTTTTTTTAAGGGTGTAATGGACTCACTTTATTTAGATTACGAATTGTTTCACACAGACCCACCACTGTGTTGAAAAATTAGTGTCTAAATAGCCATTCATTAGCTTTTTGTTCTAAGAACAATTTCTTTTACAGAGAGTTTCTTGCTGGACATGTTTGCTAAAGATATTTAAGTTACTTGAAGTGCTCATTTTAATAGACTATATTTTTTTTAACATTGAAATATCCTTTCCAAAAACTTGCCAATTTGGTTCTATTTAAAAAATTTTATGGCAATTTTTGCATGTGGTTTTACACAATGCTTAACGCTGATGAGTTCATATTCAAAAGCGGATGGGTTAGTGACATTATAAAATGTACATAATTAAATGCTGTCTTTGACAATCTCTGTCTTTTCAATGCAGACAGCAGTCAAACCGATGATAATTGCAAGAGGGCGTGTCTTACTGCACATGGTATTTGCTCAAAGAATACATGGGCGCTGAGGAAGCCTTTTCACTCTTCCAAGTTACTCAGTTGATATTCGTGGGTTTTTAACTGCCTTAGTTTAAAGAGGGAAATACTTCCTTGACCGTTATATTGTCTACAATATGCATGATTTGTGCATCCTACTCAGAAAAACAAACAAAGGCTTGAGGTGGTTTTGTACAGAAATTTAAGGTACACATATAAGAGTAGTCCTCTTAAAACATGTCTGAGGACCAAATGGCAAAAGACACTAAAAAAGGACAAAATAAGCTTCCCTTAAAGTCCCCAGGTTACTGTATAATTAGATATTAAACTTTATACCAATAACTTATAAAGAAATAAAGTTGCAAAGTAAATAATTGAGGCTTTGTGTGAGTTACTGTTGAGCCATGCCCTGGAGATTGGCAAGAAGATTTATCATTCTTGATGTTCAGTCTCGGTTTTCACTTTATTCTTTCCCGCTTTTCCCCAGCTGTGTACTTGTGTTTCCACGGTGTGTGTTAGCTGTTGTGGTGGATTAAAAATGCAAAGCGAAGCACTCTTGGGGCTTCTGGAAGTAAGCCGAACGTGACAAATCTCATCTTCTGAGCAGTGCGCATCTCACTCCTTAGAGAAGGGCAGAATTGTGCGATGCTCTTATGTGTGTGTATTCTGAGCAGTAGAAAGAATACTTCAAGTGAAGAAGTCCTGTGGACGTTCTCTGCCTATGAACGGCCTTGACAATGCACTTGTGCGCCAGGTGCTTCAGTTAAAACGTCTGCTCGTGACGCCCTTGAAGGGAAACTGTAAAATCCTGTGTTAAGCTATTGGATCTGATATACATCCATTTTGCAAGTGAAAAACTTGTGTCAGAAGTTCCTCAGAAGTGCTACTTTTTATTCCTAAAAGTAGTTCTAAGAAATTCTTTTACGAGATTGAGATGAATTTAAGGATATGATTAAGATCTCTTCTGATGTGATTTGGACTGCTAATTACTGCAGACATTGTTGACACCTTTCTTGAGTGCCTCCTTAGCCGTATTAAAGAGTGAGGAGATTTAAACGTGATTATCAGAGCTAGCTTGTTTTTTACATTATTTTTTTTTCCTGTTAGCTCCTGATGTTGACAGTGTCTACACACATGGGTGCCTTCTGCTACTTCCTTGTCTCCTTGTGGTTTTCCTTTAGATTTGAAAGCCGCCTGACTCAAGTGCCACACTGGTAGACGCCTGCCTTTGGCTCACCATTGCCTTGCCGGTTGGTTCTTTCAAGGTCAATTTTAACTTAAATCCTTACTATAGGGGATTTTTTCTTTGTGCTGTATTTCTTAACTTATTACTTGGAATCCTGCTCAACTGCTACAGTAATGCACTAGAGGTAAAGGGAGATTCCCCGTGCCGCCTTTTGTTCAGATGGGGTGTTGCTGTGCAACCATAAGAGGACAATTTTGTGTGTGGTTCAAGACAAGGTCCTGTGTGACAGGGTGCTTGTAACTGAGCTGCTAGGGGGGAATATCCAAAAGTACAGGGAGGGCTTTCTGTGGAAATCATAGGCTATTGGATCGGAAACAGAGTCTCCCATGCTGTATTCCTGTCCTGCTGCATGGGAATTATCAACTATTTACCTTCCATTGGAGGGACACGTCATTTGTTCCTCAACTTTCCCAGCAAATTGTGTTGATCAGACCCATTGAATCTCGGTGGTTCAGTTTGGTGTTGGCTTCCGTCACCTGCGTTCCTGTGACATTCCTTCAGTTCTACACACAGCCCCAAATACCATTTATCTTGTCAGTGACTTGGGGCTTTCATCCTCCTACAGTCACATCTGTGTTTAAGAGCTTTGTTAATTTATTCTCCCTGCATTTCCTATCGCTTCTCCAACCCACCTGTGTTTTTGAGCTCTGCAGTTGGCTGCCGCAGAGTTGCGCAGTGTGTCTTTTGTGAGAAGTACCTGTTTTGTACTTGCTGGTTAGTACCTTGCGATCCCTAGTTCTTGTAACGTAAGAAGCAGTCACCATAAGTAACACCTCTCCATTCGCTCTGCTAGTGGCTTAGCCCATTCTCTTCGTTGTTTTTTTTTAATAAATGAGGAGTCCTAATTATTCTCTTTTTACACAGAAGCTGTTTTTATGCAACTATGCTTGTTGCTCTTTTGAAATGGGAGGGCTGGTGCTCACGCGGAATTCAAGGTGTGGATGCGCTAGCCTTTATATGCTGATGTAACAACTTTTTTCCCCCTCTGTGATCTTCCAAATAATCCCTAATACTCTGGGTTTACTTTTGTTTGCTGCTCAATGCCGAGCCGATATCGTAACAAGTTATGCAAAAATATTTCACAATCACTTTCCTGAGTGTTAGTTGCTAATTTAGAATGGATTATTGCATGCTTTTTTTTTTTGGTGTACTATTGTACACATATGGGTGTTTTTTCTCTTGGATTATTTTGTACATTATGCAAGTCAAATTTTCTCTGCCCTTTTATCATCCTGGGCACCCTGCCTCCTGTGATTTGTCTTGGCTTTTAATACCCTAATAATTCTGTAAGATTTGCAGATTTTATCACTTGCTGTTTGTTTCTTTTTTTCTGACCAATTATGAGTATGTCACACAGCACAGGTATTTCAGTAGCAATGTCTCTTAAATCAAAGTTTAACCATTTATTTCTGGTTTTTTAATCAGTAAATTTGTGAGAGATTTATTTTTTTTAATAAAAGGAGACTAGAGGTAAATATATGAAGAATTTCAGAAAATAAATATGCTAATTGTCCTTAAGCTGATCCTTGTTGAGGAGAACTTTTCAGTAAAGCACTGACAGAATGAAGCTTGTTTGTTAATAATTAAATTCCTTTAGTTGTTCCTGAATTCCGTCTGATTAGGTGAACTAATAACAGGGGTTATCCTTTCTTTTGCTTCGAAAAGGGCTGAGGAGAGGAGTAATAATTGCTTACTCTTTGTGTATTTCATGTAAAGGTGCAGTAGCTTTTGCCTATCTCCTTCACTGGACAGCTTTATAATGTTACTACACGTCACTAAAAGAAAAATAAAATCTGTGATGTGTAAATTAGCAGGATAATAAGATGCTTTGTCGACTCAAGTTTGTCTATAAAATTAGAGAGGCATCAAAGTGTACATGTGCATCACGTTCGTTGTCAAGAGCAGGACGCAGTTTGTGTTGCAGTCTGCTGTCACCGCAATAACCCGAGGTCAGACGCTGAAGCGAGCGCGTGTGAGTAACGTTGAGATCACGCGCTTAGCTATTAGTAGCTTCCTTGTTGGGGTATCAGTCAATTCTTGAGTAAGTGTGAACACTCCACATTTCGAAGTGGCACAGGATAGGTTTGGCTTTAAAGAGCTTGTGCAAACAAATGTACTAAAGGTGCAGATGTCTGGAAAACGGATTGAATGCAAAAGTGTTTGAATCCCATTTGTTACCTAGAATGAAGATCAACATTTCCTGTACTATCCAAAATGTGGGTTTGAAAATTTCAGTTCTTAACAGGTTATTGGAGCTTGGAGATAGCAGTGTCTGTAGCTGAGTTTTACTTAGTCCTTTCCCACACAAAGAAATACCCAAGTCTAGTGTTCAAATTCTGGAATGCCACAGGTTTGTTCTGTTCTTTTTTCTCCTCCCCTCCTGCTCCTGCCCTTGTAAATCTTCACAATTCTCTCTCACTAAGGTTCAGATGATCCAATAATCCACTGTGTTCATTCCTCCTCTTGACATGTCAGCATAATCTACATTTTCTCATGAATCTTTTCATTTAATTCAGTTGACTTTCAGCTCCCCGTTACAAGTTTTCCCCCAAGTGACATTCCCAGCTTGTTCTGGCAGCACATTTTTCTCCCTTTTCAAAGTAACACTTCAACTGCTGCGGGACTGTGTTCGTCACCCTTGCTGAGCTCGACTTCACGGACGTCTCTGATCTGCTCCTGGCTAACTACAGCTTGTGCTGAAGGCAGCGGGAACCAGGTACTTCCCAGCCGGCGTTCTGTGTCGGAGGAACACTTCTCAAGTCAGGCTGTGCAATCTTTACACCATACTCTGTGCAAGAAACCTCACAGATAAATTTGGGCTCTCCTATGCTTGTTGTCTTGATGTGTCTCATGTGGAAGCTGTAACCGATACGTGTGGATAGGGCCACACGCTCACTGTTCTTGCGCAGTTTCCAGCATCAGCTGTTGCATGAGGGATTTACCTGTCGGGCTGATTCTGCACTTCTCAGGCTTGTGATTTAAAACATGTGTTGGGTCATCTGTGCAATTTCTGCCTGTCGGTTAATGTGAAGTTAGCTCTTACTGCTATAAATACGTATACTGGGAAGTGTGTTACCATGTATTTTGTTTACCTGGCCTGCAACAGAAAGCTGCCTGCCCGGAGAAAGCGCTTTGTGGTGCTGAGTTCAGGCTGTTCCCAGGTGTGTGAGAAGGTGGCCTGGCCTGGATCAAGACCCCCCCGTCCCATTCCTGTGACAGGGAGGCCAGCAGCTCATGGGAAACCGGTGCCACAGCGGAGCGTCAGAGGCCGTCCTAGGTCGGCTGGGAGCAGCTCAGGGGACGTACCGGGCAGGAGCGGGATTATCTTCAGCGGCTTTGAGGCCTGAGTTCAGGTACAGAACCGGTGGGAGGGCAGGCTGGCACCGGCAGAAGTGTGTTGGGATGCTCTCGGGAGAGTCCTGGAGGCTTCTGTTCCGCTGAAGTAAACGGCAGCAGGGTGTGCGTGTCCACTCGTGTCCTACGTGGGGCCTGGGAGTGGAGGCAGAGACTGGTGTTTAGTCTGTGAGCTTGGTGGCGGGGTCAGAGGAGCCAGCACCAGGTACTGGGCCCAGTTGGTCCAGCTCTCAGGCTTTTTACTTCCTCGTCTCTTGCCTAGAAACCCAATACAAGTTCAGTGCCTGGTTTCAGTTTAGACTCAGATACTGAACACCTGAGAATTTGGCTGCGTGCTCTCTAGTTGCGGCTGAGTCAATGGCCAGGTGGGGCAATCGGAGTTTTATTTTTCATAGTCCCCTTTCATCTGGAAGAGCCAGAACCTGCCTTGGCTACAAGAAGCTTTTGGGATCCGTAGTCTGTTCAGCTCATGCCTCAACTGCCCAGCGTTTGCATGCAACAAAAGGCATGAAGATAATACAGGTGGGTATTTTTATGGTGGCTTTCCTCCCGCAAGCACGGGTTATCGGAGCAGCGAGCCCACGGCAGCAGTGGGGGCTGTA